ATTTCCACTGGTTATCCTAGAAGTCACAACATTCATATTTAATTTTACAAATTAGTGGTTTTCCCTTCTCCCAATAATTAAAAGGAACTTAATATTTAAACTCCAAATGTCTTCTCCTTGGCTTGTAGATAATTGTTTTCCTGTATTTCTTTTTTTTTTTTAAAGATTTGTTTATTTATTTATTCATTTATTTATTTATTTATACAAGCACTGGGTACAGTCCGAAGCGCGGGAGGGTGAGAGAATTCACCAGAGCCAGAGCAGGGAGCAGAGCAGGCAGAAGGACCGAAGTACACTGCTGAGGGGAGCAGTGGGCGGCAGGAGAGGTCTGTGCGCCATGTGGGACCCTCCTCCGGTGGCCGGGGAGCAGCTGGGGATTGAACCGGTGCTGCAGAGGCTGTGGGCAGCTTCGCAACCCAGTGCTCAACCGCTGCGCCACCAGGGAGGCCCGTTTTCCTGTATTTCATGCATATCTTATTTTTAATGGAAAAATTTAGTTATTAGAATTTGTGTATATATCAGTTTATTTAAATGTATCCGTGTGATTTACCAGTTTCATTGTTCACCATTCCTTTTTATATCTCAGATCTATTTTATTTCCTCTTGAAGTACAGTGTTTAGAAATTCCTTTAGTGAGACTCTACTGGTGATAAATTATCTCAGTTTTTGTTGTGCTGAAAAATGTCTTTATTTCATCCTCATTTTGAACAGTGGTCTCTAGATGTACAATTCTAGGTTGATATTTATTTTCTCTCAGAACTTTGAAGACATTTCACTGACTATGGATTTCATTATTACTAGTGAAAGTCAACTGTCATTCTAATTGTCACTCCTTTGTATGTAATCTGGGTCTTTCTCCCCCACACACACCTCACTACTTTTAACACGTTCTCTTTACCTATATAGTGTTCTGTACTTTCACACAAATCTTCCTGTTTGGAAAGGAAGACTACATGTAGACCATCATCTCCTTAAGTTCAGGGTCCTTGTTTTCTTACTCGTGTCTGTGTTATGAGCCTTAACACCAGGGCCTCACACATAGTAGGGAAACAATAAATATTTGACATGTAGTGAATACATTTATAAATAATTATCATCCGTTTATGAATAATAAGGAAACTCATCTCTATATATTTTTTTTGTGTGTGGGACCCTCGCCGGCTGCCAGGGAACGAACCGGCTCTGCAGAGGCTGCGGGCAGCCCCACAACCCAGCGCTCAACCGCTGCGCCACCAGGGGAGGCCCCATAGAGACATATTTTTAATGTCTCAGCATATAGAATAAGCATATCTTGCCTCAGATGTCCTCAATAGTAGAATATAAAGGAGGAATATGAATCTCTTGGTTACTATATATATATATATATATATATATATATATATATTTTTTTTTTTTTAAGGATGAGGTTACCTATTTCCCTCTATAAATCTAAGGAGTGCTTAACTTGACTCACCATGTCAATAAGTGTCCAAGTGAAAGTTTGAAGTCCCGGGAATTTAATGTTAAAGAAATTAGGGCGGGATAAGTTCTGAATCCTCTGTAATCATTAACAACAAATAATGATTAAGCTACACACAGAATATGACTCATTTAATTTCAGTCAAACTCATTCTTCAGAACACAAAATACCTTAAGTCTTATTTTTCAAATACCAGAATGATGTGGCAGAGAGGGAGATAAATTCCATAGTGGATATGTTTATTTTCCTTCCTTTTTCTCTCCTTTTGGCCTATCATTCTATTCCCAGCATTCACACCAGCACTAACACACTAGGTTTTCACCCTTCTTTTTTTTTTAAAGATTTATTTATTCATACAAGAACTGGGGTACAGGCCAGAGGTGTGGGGGGGGGGTGAGAGGATTCACCAGAGACAGAGTGGGGAGCAGAACAGGCAGATTGAGTGAAATTCACTGAGGGGAGCAGTGGGCGAGCCAGGAGAGGTCTGCTGCACCTTGTGGGTTGCTCCCTGGCCGGCTGGGGATCGAACTCGTGCTGCAGAGGCTGCGGATTGCTTCATAGTGCGGTGCTTAACCCCTTGCACCACCAGGGATCCCCCTAGAGATTGTTTTGATGCAGCTCTGTGTTCAGACAGCTGACTCAAGCGCATGTCTGAGTTGAAGAAATACAAGGATTATAGTTACTGTTCTTGCAAGGATAGCAAGAGGTAGTGACTAATAATTCTGGGAAGGTCTTACTTGTTTTACGTGTTGGCAGTTCTAGACCTATGTGGTAAAGGCCCATGTCCTGGGGTGTCAGACTGTATGTTCCCTAATTTCCCCGTCACATGTGAAACTGCTGTCATGTCCTAGCCATCTCACCCCATACGCCTAGAATATGTGGGGGGAAGCAAATATTGTTTAAAAATGAACAATGCTGTAAAAAATAAAAATAATTTTAGAAAAAGAATATAAAAAAAGCAGCTGTGTTTTTGCGATGCCACTGTAAGATGGCTTTCAGACAATCATCTCTATTAGTGCCCTTGTTTTTGTTTCTTTTTGTGTAAACACTGCCCTATTGCAGAGGTTCATGATTAAAAAATAATCACAATGCCAGAAAGTCAATATTATAGGCTTTGCAGACCAGGCAGTCTTTGGTACAATGACTTGATTTTGCAGTTGTAGCAAAAAAGCAGCCACAGACAATATGTAACCAAGTTGCCATGGCTGTGTGGACACTGCATTTTGAATATAAATTCCATGGAATAAGGTGGTCTCCCCTTATCCATGGGGGATGCATTCCAAGACTCCCAGTGGATGCCTGAAAAACTGGATAGTCCCCAACCCTGTATATGCCATGTTTTTCCCTAAATTAAACTTTGATAAAGTTTAATTTTTTAAATTAGGCACAGTAAGCAATTAACAATCTTGACTGATGATAAAATAGTATAATTATAACAATATGCTGTGATAAAAGTCAATGTAGATATGCTCCCTCGCTCCCCCTACCACTCCCCTCTCTCCCTCCCTCCCCTTTTGGTTTTGTCCACCCCAAGGGATCATGTTCAGTGAAATAAGCCAGAAAGAAAAAGAAAAATACCGGATGGTCTCACTCTAGCAGGAATCTAGAAAACCTAAATAAGGGACCAGGAAAAAGAATAACTATAAGAAAGAAAATATCAAAATCAGCAAACAACTATGAACCAGAGACACACTATGGGGGGGTGGGGGGCGGGGAGGGGAGGGATTGGGGTCAAAATAAGGGGGTTGCAATTGTATGGGGAATATAAAAAATAAATTTATTTAAAAAAATGAACAATGATGTAAAAAATTTAAATAAAAATAAAAAAGTTATAAGAAAAAAAATGTATATACTATACCTAGCTCTTAGGCCCTACAAAATAGGTAGTGGAGTAAATCTGGCCCACAGGCCATAATTTGCCTTCTTCTGCCCTATTGCTCTTTTGATTTTTCCACATTTATCTTTTCATAATCTGTTGCAAGTCATTTCTTAGTTGAATAGTGAAGCAAGTATATTCTTATTTAATTATTGTATTTGTTTTCTTTTTCTATCAGAACAAGTTGCCATAATTGAGCAGCTTAAAACAGCACAACATATTATCTCACAGTTCTGTAGCCCAAAAGTCTGGGTTGGCTTGGTATGTTCTCTACTCAAGGTTAACAAGACTGAAATTAAGGTGTCAACTGGCTGAACTCTTGTTAGGAGGCTCCTGGAAGATTCTACTTCCAGGCTCATTTGGCTCTGATTTCTTTGTATGTAGGAATGAGGCACCCGTTTCCTGTATATGTTATTCAATCACCCGGATGTATTACTCTGGGGCTAGAAATATCTACTTGTCTCTCAGCTGCTTTTCTTGAGCCAACAAGTCAGAATTGTCTCCAATCTCACTGATCCTCATCCTGAATGTCCCATCTCTCTATATATCTTAAATTTTACCCCTCAATTCATGATACTTGAGTTATAGCTTTATTTCCTATCCTATCTATTGGAATAACTTCCCAGTTGGCCTGCCTGCTTCTGTTTTCTTCCTTCGCCATATAATGCTCCAGAGACAATATGATCCAACCTGAACGTCAAAAAAAAAGCTGCCCGAGTTCCCCATTGTCTCCAGAATGGCATTCTAACTCCTTCGGATCGCCTTCAGATATTTCTATTATGTGACCCAATCCTACCTTTCAACCTCATTTTCTATGACAATCCCTCATAGAGGTGTTGGGATAGTCGTAGGTGAACATGGCTGCCCCAGCACCCCATGAACCATGCTCTGAGAATAGCAGATCAACCTGTGTCACTGCAGTAAAGAGTTTGTGCAACCACGGCAGATAGGGCTTAAATGATGGGTCTAATTGTTCGAAGATCCTTCTTTCCCACCTTCAACATTCAATTGATCCTGAAATCCGGGCAGGCCTTTCTGCTGCCTACATGTTTCTCTCCCCCTGGCTGTTACTCTTGCCACTGCCCAAGCTTGGTGCTTGCCGTCTCTGTATTGGACTGTTGCCCTGGCTCAGCTGTCTCGTCCCATTCTCTTTTCACTTCCGACCAGTCATCATATAGCTTCAAGGTATATTTCTAAAGCAGAGTTTGATCTTGGTATCTTTGTCTTCAAAGCCTTCACTTGTTCCCTGGTTTTGTTTTGTTTTTTTTTTCCCTTATAGACTTAACTTACAGATCCAGTAGTTTAGAACTTGAACCCTAGGCCAAACTGCTTGGAATAGGATCCTGATCCTGCTACTTATCAATTGTGTGATATGGGTCTAGCATTTTTTGCTCTAAGGCTCAGTTTCCTCATCTACAGAGTGGGGTTAATAGTGTTTACACAGGGTTGCTATATGCATAAAAATATATTAAGTATAAATAGCACTAGCTAAGTACCTGGTACACAGTATATATTCAACTAATAGTGGCCAGTTTATAATCCTTCTAAAATGATTTTGAGTAGGGCTCTGTAAGTAACTATATTTTACTTAATTAGGGATTTTTGAGAGTTAATTATTTGGCTAAATAATTGAATTTCAATGATCTCTCATTTTCCTTGGAGTAGGCAACTAAGGATTGTAACTGGTGAATGGTTCTTTGAAGAAAAGGCAAAGCGTTTCAAGCAAGTCAATGTTCTAGGCACTGATGTTGTCCGACAGTCCATTTTAAGAAGAAGTCCAGGTAATTAAGGCAATTATTTGGTTTCTAAACTGCTTTAATCCTCATTTGGATGAGCTAAATAACTTCCCTGTAATATGTAGCAAATGAGAGTAGTTGAATTTCCTAAATCCCTTAGGTCATTTCAAAACTCAATAGCATGAAATCTAAAATCTGCGTTGCATACAAAAGGAGAGGAAGTCAGTAAAATCCATGTTGATTTTTTTATTTATTTGACACAGAGATTTTCAAAGGAGACATTTATCTTCATTACTGGCAGTTCTTTTCCTGAATGCGCTTGCAGTATTTTACTAAACATTTAAGACAGTAACATTAAACAGATGAATTCAATGAGTCACATTATAAAAGCAAACTTTGATTTTTTTTTCAACAGCATTTATTTCAAATTTCTTTTCAACATTACTTTTTCTAATCCAGTGGTTCATAGCCAAGGGTAGATATTAGCACTCGGGCTCCCATCCTCCAAGCCAGGGAAACATTTAGAAATGTAAGGGGCATTTGTGATTGTCACAATGACTTGGATGTGTGTGGGGGGGTGGAAGATAAATAACCACATTTAGTGGCCTGAAATTCACAGGACAGTCTCTCTCAATGAAGAATTATACTGGCACCAAATACAAACAAGAGCCAACTGAAGAATGCAGGTCTGTGAATTGAAACTACAATTTAATTGGTTGGTTACTGAATGAAATATATTTAGGACCACACTTTTCATGTAGAAAAGGGCATCTTTTGGCCTATTTTTAAACTACTTTGTCTTTCATACACTAGAGACAAATGTCCTTGTATTTTAGTCTAACTTCTATGGCTGGGAGCCTTAGAACTAATTTCAGTGCCACTTGCCGTTATGGCCTGAGCAACGAAGGGCTTTCCCAGATGGGTAACATCAGGTCTGATGTCACAGAGTGACAGAGTAGGGTAGAGTTAGAATTAAGTAGTTGGCAATGGCTGATTCCTGCACTCAAACCAGCACCTTCCAGAGTGTCAACTGTCCCTCAAATCATGATATGTCTCTACAGATGCCTGTCCTCCCAGGAAGTCTGACTTCTATGCTCAGAATTCAGGCTATCATTTCTAGAAGCCTATGCTAGAAGCTAGTCTTCAGGAATTCGGAGTTCATGAACCTGGGCTGGTCTGTCCTAAAAATATCTATAGAGGGATGATGTATCATTCCTGCTTTGTATGGTTCCTAAGAGAGCTTATCTCAGCAAACCTCCCACACATGAGCACTCATCTTAGTCCTCAGTTAACTCTGGATCACTCACCAGATTAGAAATAACAGTGTGACTGGGAGACTTGGTTGGGAATGTCATTGCAAATTATTATAGACTTCCTTGTCCTGTGTCCATGTAGGAAAGTGAACACAGACTAGAAAATTGCTCTCATTTCTGGCCATTTGTATTTAAATTCGTCTTCTGATTGTTTTTAATGAGGAGCTGAAGAAAGCCAAGAGCAAACCTGCCAGGATGCAGCAAAGTCTGACACGTCACCTTCTGCTGGGCAGAAGGCCAGCCATGATGGGCCCAGGAGGAAGGGGTAAGACACAGCTTTTCCAGAGGAACTTTTGATCTTTCTTCCAAACATCTCTAAAAAAAAAAAAAAATGCCTTCATTACTCAAGTCTGATATCACTTCTGTGACCCAGAGCTGGTCAGGGACTGAAGCGAGGTAACAGTTTGCTATTATTGTCCTCAGGATATGTGATTTTAATTACTTTCAGTCTTAGATAAATAAAGGTCCTTTCTGACCTGAACGTGTAAGTTTTTCTTTCATTTGCATATCTGCTCTTGTATCAGTGTTCCTATTACTTCTAGGTGGAAGGTTTCATATCAGAACCAGTCTTGTCTATAAAGAGGTGACAAATGCCTCTGTTGAAGAATTTTAACCCTCGCCTCCCTCCACCCCAATAGCTGACACATGAAATAGCCAAGTCAAAGATTTGCTGATTGGGTTTAAAACAGTGTATCTCCTGTTTATTTTATTTTTTTAAAGATTTTTATTGATACATACAAGAGCTGGGATGCAGGCCAGAGGTGTGGGGGTTGAGAGGATTCACCAGAGACAGTGGGGAGCAGAACAGGTGGATCCACTGAAATACACTGCCGAGGGGAACTGCGGGTGAGTCAGGAGAGGTCTGCTGTGCCATGTGGGTTGCTTCCTGGCCAGGGATTGAACTCGTGCTGCAGAGGCTGAAGAAAGCTTCATAGTGCTGACGCTTAACCCCTTGCGCCACCAGGGAGGCCACATATCTCCTGTTTAAAACGCAGGCTTACTTATGGTTAAAAAAAAAAACCCACATTTCGCACTTCACTAACTTAATTCAGAAAGCAAATTTTTGTGTCAAGTATAGAGAATAGCAAAGGCACATGGGGAGGCAAGGCTTAAGGAAGTGTTAGGAAACTGGGGGCAAAGGGTCCCATTAAGGGAAAAAATTCAAATTCAAAAAAATTCAAAAAAAGCCAAAATTCAGGCTGTAAGAACCAGAGGTGAATGACTGCTTCACAGCCCTGCATTTTACAGTCTTCTTTTCTCAGGCAGCTGCCAGCTCGTTTTGAGGCTGAGGTGGGGTGAGGTCTCGTACACATCAAGTCACATCACAGTCCTTTCCCAGTAGCGTTGCTCTGTGTTCTCTGCAGAAGTCCGTGGAGAGATCGCCAGCAGCTGAGTCTTCATCTGGCTCCATAGAAAGTTTGCAGGTTTTTTTTTTTTTTTAAGAATCTTGATTTCTGAATACCAACTAAATCTAAATGTCGTCTTACTCAAACTCTATTGACTAACCCTGTCTTGGCTAATTAGCAGAAATGAGAGGGGAAGATAGGCCAGAGTAACCATTCTTCCATGTTCAATCTGTTTATCCTGATTCAGGGCTCCCACAGTGCCTTGTGCCATGCATCACTGGGTACTTTGCACTTTGACACCACCACCACCCAGCACACACACTTAATTGTAAGCTCCTGTTGTGTAGAACAGTAGCTCTTTTATTTTTGTGCAATACCAGCCACAGTGATGCGTGGGCCCAGCAGACACAGTCCATGGCCTTGTTGAATTAGAAACTTAGAGCCCAGATGTGTTCAAGAAGTTATAATTCGTAGGCTCCAGCCCAGGCATCACAGCATAGGTTACAGAATGGCAGACTTGGAACTGGGAGACAGTAGTGATTCCCAGCTCAATGAAATGTATAACCCTGAATGGTCCACACAATCCCAGCACTGAGCAAGCCCTGCTGGAAATCCACACTGGGATCTGATGGTTCTTAGTCTTCAAGGAACACAGTGCAAAGTTCGGGAGAAAGGGTGCACACCTGAAAAGTAAATATGTAAAGAAGAATTGTTGGAAAATATAAGATGGCAATAAGAGCTGTCTGAAGCCTTCTGAAAAACAAAGTGGGTGTTAATTAACTACAAGAGATGTCATAAGGCAAAAGATAATCAAGTGCTAAATGAGTGGCTTATGTAATGTTGGGAAGATGCAGGGCCTGTCTGAAAAGATGTTGGACTGTAAGTGAAACATAGATGAGGTCCAGGATAGCAAAAGGGGGAAGGGGGGGCGAGTGAGTCCAGGTGGAGGAGACACCTTAAATGCCAGTGCATAGATGGAGACTTGTATCAGTGCTTCCCAGAACAGCACAGACTGACATTATATTAAGTGCTATTCTCACCAAAAATGTAATTTTCCCAGTTCGACTGAAGTTTCTGACATTTTTCACAAGATAGTCTTCCAAGGGTCTTTGAAACAGAGACAACTTGGCAGATTCTATTAGTGTCCCAGTCCATTGGAATTTATTATTCCTCCAAGAAAACTGTAGAATGTAAAGTTAATGAACTGGTTTGTTTCAATGCCACCACCAAAAGAATATAGCTTTGCTTTATTATTATTATTATTTTTATTTTTTAAGATGCACTTAGAAACAACCATGTTTAGGGCATTCAGTAGCCTGGTTCATGACTTGAACCTTGGCTCCTCAAAAGCTATTTTTCCTAAGTTCCACATAATTTAGTGAAATGGGAATGCAGTTGAATTTCTTCCAACTGGAGACAATTCATTGTTCAAACTTCATTACCCTGGGGGATCGTGTCATGGAAGATGTAGAGATGATTTCCCCCACGTGGGCTCTGTCGTTTCACAAATGCAGTTGGGTCCTAGTATCAGGCAGCACTCAAGGTCCAGGCACCAGGCAGCGGGCAACAAAGGCAGAGTTGGGCTCTCAGAGAGCACAGTCCAGTTATTTGCTACCTTATTTTGTCCCAGAGGCTTATCCAGCAAAGTAAATTCAAGCTCCCTTTTCTTAGCACCCTTACAAACAGGCAATATGTCTTCATTCTTAGGTGACCATGGTGAGTTGCTGTTAACGGTCTTTTTCTTAGCAGGGCCAGAGGCCTGACTTACCAGCAAGTCATCTGGCCTTGGGAAAGAATGTCCTAACCGCCTCCACTGCCACCCTTGACACTATGCTGCAGAGGCACTAGGAACTCTCCAGAACCCTTAGCCCCAAGGCCACTGTAAATATGAATCATTTAGTCTTGAAAATTACCAGAAATGATAACCTTGAATGATAATTAAAATGTCTTGGGGGCCTCCCTGGTGGCACAGGAGGTTAAGACACAGCACTATGAAGCTATCAGCAGCCACTGCAGCACAAGTTTGATCCCTGGCTGGCCAGGGAGCTACCCACATAGCACAGCAGACCTCTCCTGTCTTGCCTGCTGCTCCTATCAGCAGTATATTTCAGTAGATCTGCCTGATCTGCTCCCCACTCTGTCTCTGGTGAATCCTCTTACCCCCATACCTCTGGCCTGCACCCCAGTTCTTGTATGCATAAATACATAAAATAAATATTTTTTAAAAATAAAATGCTTTCTTTTTTACCTGACTTTTCAATATATATAATTTCAGATTTCTTCTTAGCAAGTTCAGATCAGCCACCAGAGGAGAAATCATAACTCCAAAAACTGAAGGTGGACGGAGCTACAGCTTGGACTTAGACTGCCAGCATTTTCGGAGTTTCAAGTCAGTCTCTGGTTCAGACAGGTAAGGGACCCTGAGGACATACCCTGAGGATCAGGTTGGCATATTTCCACCCAAACAGCGCTTCTCTATAGCCTGTAAAGTATTGCCTCTTGGAGAACTAACACATCTTGTGAAAAGCCAGGAGGCTATTTTTTGGTTGAAACAGAAAGCATTTGCCCTTCTTCTGAAAATACAGCTTTTGAAATCATCTGTGTCACCTGCAGGGATGAGACTTTATGTTATTGGGATTCAGGGCTAAAATTCAAATGAAGATGCACGGTGAAAGTAAATTCTTTTCATTGATTTCTTGATCTTTCTCTGTTTAAACTTCTTCAAAAGAAACCCGAACTGCCATATACATTCCTTGAAGCTCTTTAAAAAGTATTAATAATTTCGTCATTTGAATTGCCTCTGAGAATTTCCACAAATTCCACCTTTTTCTATTTCCACTTCCTCCAACTCATTATCAGTGGGGCCAAATGAGAATCGTCTATGCCCAATTATCACCCTGTTGAGAAATAGAAGTAGCTAAGAGCGTAGTCATTTTGTATCAACCTTGATTTCCTTTAGCCCGCTGGAGCATATGTCAAAGCATATTTTCATGATTAGTGTATTATCAAAGCTAGAGATGAGAAAAAAAAGTCTAGCTTTATGTTTCCCTGGTTTGTCTAAATACTAACTCCCTTGTGTTTGCTACCGCTGCAGCACTTCTGCAAAGTTAGATAGTAAAATTTTCTTCCCTCAAGTTCTGCAAGCAGAATTACATTCTCCCCTGGATTTATTTTACAGCATGGAACAGTGAATTCCCCAAAAGAGTACACTCTTGACTATTGGGCTTGTTTTCATGGTGACTCTCCATATCTGCTTTTTAGTATTCCTACAAACTATAGTCACTTTTTTTGTCATCACAAAAAAATAAGCTAGCATTTAAGAAATCATTTGTCACCTACTATCAAAAGATCTTTACTGCATTTAGTATTTTCCCAATTTTCAAGAATGTAGGCAGATTTCCTTTGTCATAGGAAATTTTTTTATTTTATATATTTTTTACATCATTTTTCATTTTTGCACACTGTATGCTTTTTTATTTTGGCTATAGTCCCCCTACAATTCCCACCTTCCTTGTTTTGATCCTACTCCCTCCTCCCCCCACCCTGTAGTGTGTCTCTGGTTTATAGTTGCTTATTGATTTTAATTTTTACTTTATTATAATTAGTCTTTTTCCTGGTCCCCTTATTTAGGTTTTCTAAATCCCTGCTATGAGTGAGACCATCTGGTATTTTTCTTTTTCTTTCTGGCTTATTTCGCTGAGCATGATCCCTTCCAGCTCCATCCATGTTGCTGCAAACTGCATGAGTTTATCTTTTTTGATTGCTGAGTAATATCCCATGGTGTATATGTACCACATCTTCTTGATCCAATCATCTATCTTTGGGCATTTGGGTTGTTTCCATAGCTTAGCTATTGTAAATAGTGCTGCTATAAACATAGGGATGCAGGTGCCCTTTTGAATTAATGTCTCTGTGTCCTTTGGGTAAATACCTAGGAGTGGAATTGCTGGATCATATGGAAGCTCCATCTTTAGCAGGTTGAGGAATCTCCACACAGCTTTCCATAGTGGTTGGACCTGTTTGCACACCTACCAGCAGTGCCGGAGAGTTCCTTTATCTCCACATATGATAAGAAAAATTAACTATGGTTGCCTTTGTCCTTAAAATAATTTCCTTTGACTTCCCTTGGGGTAACCCCATCTCATGTCCCATAATGCCTTTATATAAAAGTGTTGGCTTTGATTGTTAAACTCTGACTCTCAGAAAGCAATCAATTTTATCCGGAGGTGATGAACTAGCTTAGTGTTCCCACTTTATCTCCGTCTATCAGGACTCCATGCATCAGCATCTTGGCTTACGCTTCATGCTAGCTAGCATTTAAGGGGACAGAATATATAAAACAAGGGAATGTGTAGCTTCCAATTAAAAAAAGTTCCCAATTGAAAAAAAAAAAAGTCCCCAGTACAACAAAATTAGATTACTTCACCTTAAATTAATTTTTCTTGTGACTCATCAAAAATAATGGGCTCTCCTCAGCGAAATAAGCCAGAAAGAAAAAGAAAAATACCGGATGGTCTCACTCATAGCAGGAATCTAGAAAACTTAAATAAGGGACCAGGAAAATAAATAACTATAAGAAAGTGAAAATCAAAATCAACAAAAAGCTATGAACCAGAGACACTTTTTGGGGGGTGGGGGGCGGGAAGGGAGGGATTGGGGTCAGAATGGGGGGGTTGCAATTGTATGGGGAATATAAAAATAAAATTTATTATTTATAAAAAAAATAATAATGGGCTCTCTCTCCAGTGTCAGGGTGCTTATACCATTTTTCCAGGATCTATCTGCCTGGGTTTATTGAGTCTTGTCGACCGTTGAGTATAAATAACCATAAAGCTATAAAGTTGTGTGGACATGTTTACCTAGGAGTTTCTTGTACTTGTAGGTCTCCAAGTAGACTATCTTTTAAATTGTAGATACCTGAAGTGGTTTACAGATAATTAGGATACAGTCAGGTGTGGTTTGGCTTCAGCATGCCAAGAACATTGTTTTCCCATTAAGAGACCAAGATGAAAATTCATACATTGTGCAAAAATGAAAATTGATGTTATATATATATATATATATATTATAAAAACCAAAGAAATAAAAATAGAGAGAGCAAAGATGCTTGGGATGTCAGTACCACAATATGTCCTTCCTTTTCCTACAACCAGCATTTATCAGAGTCTCATTAATGCACGGCCCCGGTGGGATGACTTACATTATCCCAAAATCCTTCCTTATAAAGTTGGCACAGGAGGTAGCACATCTTAAATCTCATCACCTAAAGAAGTTAATTTCCTTTTGTTTATTTGGAGCTGTAAGCAGTTCTACAACTCCAGCAAGTAAAACTGGTGGACTTTGTTTTCTTCTGACGTTCTGCAAACACAATTGCATTTTCCCCATGTAATTCATCTAAGCATATGCAACAGAAATTCCCCCAAAGAGATGGCAAGACTCCAGTCTCTCTGGTTTCTTACCTAACCCAACAAGCAATTAATTTTCCTTTTTCCTCTAGAAGGCATGTTTCTTCATGGTTCAGTGTTCTTTTCCTGGAGCGGCTGGGCTTGAGCATTTTTTTGATGCTTTAGAAACTTAAGGACAAAAGGATGTCAGCTCCCAGTCTCTTGGGGTGAACCAAAATAAATAAGGGCTAAAAGAAACGCAAACGGCAGGGCAGGAATGGGTGGGGGTGCATGCCTTGAGGGCAGCAGAACCAACTTCAGTGAAGCACAGGATGTTCCTGCGGTTCTAGCAATAGTAATTGACCACAGGTTTGGTGCAGACTTCAGTGGGCTCGAGGGAGGGGCTTGGCTGGGATAGAAGCATCTCTTGTCACCTAGGTGAACCTCATGGAAGCAGTGAATGGCTGTCACACAGGCTCTGAGATACTGCCTTGGGACTAGAGTTCGAGGGGGCAGACTGCTGGGGCCTGCCTGGCTTGTTGGGGGCTCAGACTGGAATGAATGAAGATGGGGCTGGCATAAAATAGGCTTTCAGAGATCAGACTAATGGTCGCTTAGAGCCCACTAACTGCATTGGGCTAGATTCTGGGCTTCTAGATCCCAGGGAGCAGGCCTCTGATACCCCTGGTTGTACCCTCGGGGAGGGCCCCAGGACTCCAGTCTGCCCCTAGGAGTAGGTCTGAAGGGGTCCAGGCTTCATTGAAGAACAGGGTCCTGATCCCATAGGCTGTTCCTGGGCAGAGGGCGCTGGTATCTCAGCCTCTCTCCTAGGGCAGGACTCTGGGGGCCCTGGCTCCTGTGAAGGACGGGCCTGAGCCACCTCAAACTCTGTTCCAGTGCCAGACTGTGGTTCCCCACATTCCTCTGAAAGGCTGGGCTTTGGCAACCCAAAGTGCTGCAATCGTTCAAAAAAGTGGGAGAAGCCTCAGATTTATGCTCTGGGGCATTCAGCAATTTAGAAATCTCAGCCGACGGGGCCTGTAGTTCAACCACAACCATAGAGGCCCCGCCCAGAGAGGTACACATTGGCTACAGGATACTAATGTGCTTCATCCTCACTTCCTGGATTTTGGGGACTTTACTGGGGTGGGGTCTAGAAGGACTTGCCACAGGTGGTTTCCCAGGTACCTCCTCAAACCTTATACAACTCTTTTGGTCAAATACCCTTACTGTACTCCATCCCCAGCACAGGGCAGGTCGGGTCTACTGGACTCTGGGGGCCCATAGGGTGGGTGTGAACTTGGTTTTGGTGTGAATGGTGAGAAGCCATGACACTGAATAGGAGGTTGGAGCTGAGGGGTTAGGGGAAGGTTCCCTTTGAGCCCTTCTAACCTGGGATGGAAAGTGGCACCACCTGGCCAGGGAGGGCATCAGGTGGGAGTCACTCCGCTGGAAAGATGACTCTGTGCAGTTTATCTTAATGGCATCCACTGGGCCAGATGAAGTGGCCCCTCCTCCTTCACCTAAGTGACACCTTCATGCTCTCTTCCAGGGAGAGAGGATGCAGGCTGGACTGGGGTCTCCGGGAGTAATCCTGAGACCTGGCTCTCTGATGCCCAGCTGCTGCCACCTCTCTCTTTGCTCCTGGAGCAAGTAGAAGGGGAAAGGAAGGTCCTGAGGATGGAATCAGCACCTCTGACCTCTGGGGACACAAGATCTGATCCCTCCCTTCTCAAAGCAGGAAGTACTGGCAAGATCCAGTCACTGGGTGGAGGTTCTAGGGCCCAGATATGCAGAGGTCCAGGCACCCTGGTCCCTCCAGATAGGGTGTCCCTACTTCCCTGGAATATGGACTCTTATTCCAGACTGGACTGGCGCCCCCAGTGACAGCTCTATACCCCCTCACCTGACAGGATTTTGATTTAGGCTCCGGAAGCCTTTGTCTGGGGAAGGGACCCAGGCCCCACATTTTATCCCCCAGAACCTCAGGGGTCCTAGAGCTGAGTGCTCCCCAACAGTATTTGTG